CTACAGACTATTCTTTTATGTGCTTTTGTTTAGCACCACTTCCCTTTTTTACCTTTTTTTTTGTTCTATATTGCTCTCCTTGAAGACATGAAGATTTCAAGAGTTAGATTATTGGTATATTTATACATAAAGTTTAGGTGTTGGAAAATATTTATCTGATATATGTTCGTCATTTTCATATCCATACTTAAAGGTTTAGTGGTCCCCCCTTTTTTTGTTGTATATAATTCTACAAGCATGTTTTTGTGAGAAAAGAATTTTTATAGTTTTGTTGGTGGACAACTTGCCCGCGTAATATTTGCGTAAGTAATGTAGCAATGAATTAAGCTGAAGTGTATAAGCTTTAGACTACGTGAATTTAAGTATGGGCGAGTTCGATACATAATACTGATAAAAAATCAGTAGTAGAACGAGAAGATAAAAATCCTTATTGATGATTAGAAAGTAAGCTATTAAATTCAATATGAAAAAATGTTTAGTGATTTAGACTCAAAAACCTTGCTTTTAAAAGTAAGAAGACTAATGGGATGGTAGTTACACGAGTCAGATCACTCTCCAGAACTTTTGAAAATAAGACTAACAGATGCCGCTAACCAGCAGACTGGAAAACAACACTCTGATAAGCTCTTGTTAAATAGTTTTGAAAGTATAGTCGACAGCTCTGAAGAATACTTCTCCAAGACTATAGCGAGTATGTTGTCCGGACCACATGCTGTAGAAGAGTCTAAGCAGAAAATCACTTTAGATATAGAAGGTGAAGTGATGCGAATGTCGAGCAATGAATCAACCTGTTTGTCGGCTACATCAGGTAGAACGTGACTAGTGAAATTAAGAGATGGTATTAACAAGATTCTCATCCAAAAATTCAGCTTTGTCATTAGGTGAGATGACAAAATCAAAACCATGCGAGAAAGGTTGCATAACAGATTTGCTTTTATTATAGATAATGTTAAAGATTCTCCAGAAGTCAAGAAAGCATAGTTTTTGAGATTTCGAGACCAGAGAATATACCTTGTTTCATAAAAAAACACAAGAAGAAAACTTTCCTCTAAAACTGCCGAAACTTATTATAAATTATAAACAAATTAAAAACAAGATACTATAAAGTTTTTAGGAATTATTGTGGATGATCATTTATCATGGCTCCCACACATAAAATATATACAATCAAAAATTAGTAGAACCATTGGTAATAACTGCTAAGTTTTATTGTGAATTAGAAAGATGTGGAGAAATTAAGGCTATTGCTTTTAACATTTCTAAAATCTTTAACAAGTTTGACATGCTGATATTCTCCGTAAGCTTTCTTCTTACTGTGTATCAGGTAACATCTTTAAGATTATAATTGTATGAATCCATCTTTACCAATCATAGTATGAAAATTGTCTTTGATGGACAACACTCTTCTTCATTTCCAATAACTTCAGGAGTTCTTCATGGTTCTTTCGTTAGCTCTATGCTATTTTTAATTTAGATTATCGATCTCCCAGAAGATCTTTAGTCAAAAAACCCTTTATGCTTTTATAAGAGTTTGTAGCTAAAAAAAAACTAAAGGTTTGATACCCATTATACTAAACCACATAAGTTAAACAATATTTATAGTTATCAAAGTTTGGTCATGCTTTTTGTTCTAAAATCCTATAGAATCCTATAGGACCTTTTGACTAGGGATTGTTTGTGATGATAATACCATCTTTTTTTATAAGAAGGAAGCACTCTCTGATTACTTGGAGGGGACAATTGAACTTGAAAATAATCTCACTTCCGCAACACTACAGGGCTCTCAGTGGCTGGTGAACTTTAACTCAGATAAAACTCAATTTTTTTCAGCTACTTTTTATTGCAACAATCTAGGTCTTACTATATTTATGAACGGTAATGTACTCGATGAGTTATTCACCCTTTGTCTTAGTAGCTTAACTCTTACTTCGGATCTTTCTTGGAAACCATATATTGAACCCATTGCAAAATTAGCATCTGCAAAGGTTGCATCTCTTTATCGTTCTTGCTACTTTCTTACACCGGATTCTATTCTTTATCTCTATAAATCTCTAACCCGTTCTTGTATGGAATACTGTTGCCATATTTGGAGCAGAACTTCAAAAAAGTGCAAAAATGCAATGTAAACTTAGTTGGGCCTATTCATGCAGTCAACCTTCAATCATTGTCACATCTTCATAATGTTGTTTCTCTTTCTCTTTTCTATAAATACTATAATTGGCGCTGCTAGAAAGAGCTAGCGACTCTTGTGTCATCTACTCAAACCATTATTGCATTACTCGTCATTTAAATAGGTTTAATCCTTTTAATGTAATTTTTCATAAGTGCTCTAAAAGTTCTTATTTGTCATTTTTTTTCCTCGAAGACAAACGCTTTGAAATTCGCTCTCTTCATCTTGTTTTCCTGGTTCATGTAATCTGCAACCTTTAAATACTCTATTAACCGTTATCTTGCTTTTTTTATTACGGCATAACACTATCTTGATACCATAGCTTTGTAGATATCGATAGCACTACGATATATTGTTAGCTGCATATCGTAGCTTTGCAACTAGCTACAATATAACAATAAATCTGTTGGTTGTCAATGTCTACTTATCGCAGTTTTGTAACTAGCATTATTACGGTATATTGATAGCTACAAATTATAGGTGTATGGCTTTATAGCTGGACAGATGTAGTTATACCTCATTATATTTACTGATAATATTGGACAGATATTATTAGACATAGCAAAAATTGGTGTTGTTACCCTGACCCCAGAAAAAGTAAAATCTAAAAAAAAAAAAACTGCCATTCAATAGAGAACAAAGTAACCACCCCATGCTGTCACGACAAACAACAAAGTTGTCAATAATTTTCAACCAGTCCTTAAAAAATATGTCCAAAATGTTTATCAAATGTTTACCACGTAAACTTCTTTAACAAATAATGAAATAGTATTAAACAGTTAGTCGGAATACAAAAACTATTTTTGGATTTCCATAAAGCCAAAAAAATGCCAAAATGCCTAAGCTTGACGTTTGCAATACTCTTTATAATAAATTGCTATATTTCGAACTTTATGAATATTGATTATAAATACCTGAATATTAATACTTTGTGACGTGGTTGTAGTTTTCTCAAAGTAATTACTTTGAGAAAACTACAACTAATTATTAATTAACTAAACCTAATTATTAATTAAATTAATTAATAATTAAACTTATAAATTAATAGTTATTATAAATCATAAACCGCGTAATCGTTATCAAATATTCCGGAGCTTTTTTTAAATTAACTGCACAATCGATATCGATTGTCATCACTTAATATCTCCCAAGAAAGTAAATAAACCATTTTTGATTAAAAACTATATCAGCTTTTCAATTTATGGTTCAAAGAACCAACTTTATAATAAAAATGGTGTAAAATTTATAATTACAAACTTTTTTTTTGTATTGCTAAAAAGGAAAATAATAATGAGAAGAATGTCCCCGGTCAAGGACCAAAAAAAGGAAAAGTAGAAAAAGAACTCATAAAGAAAGCAAATGTTCCTAAAAGGTTTACTTGTAGAGAAAGGTTCCTTGTAAGAGTCACTTCGGAGAAAACGGAGAGAAACCAGCTTTCCTTGAGAAACCACATTATTCAGGGTTACCTTTTCCTAAGAGAGAGATTTGCAAAAATGGCATTAAAACATGCCTGTAAAAAAATTTCAAAAGTGGAAGTTTTTTATGATGGTACTCGGAATAAGTTTAATTATTTTAAGAACAACCCAGTAGGCACTCCACCTAAAAAAAAACGTCTTTTGAACGTTCAAAAGAAGTCTAAAACGTTTAAAAGATGTTCAAAAGACGCTCAAAACATTCAAAAGACGTTGTTTTTTTTTATCTCAAATGCCCACTGGAAGCTAAACGGAATAGACTAAAAGAGAAAAAAATTCAAAATATTTTTATCTAAACTTCGTATAATTGTTTATAATTTAAAAATATGCGCATTAATATTTTATTGAATTAAAATTTTATTGAATTAAAAATTATACTTTGTTTAATGAATTTGTCCATATAGGATGCTTTTAAATTGGTTTATATAAAGTGTACTTGAAAATCTTAGCAGCTCCTTATTATATTGTAAAGTAACTCACTTCAGCTTACCACAAACATATTATATAAAAAATAATTTTTATAAGGTTATTAAAGGCTGATTATGATTTAGCCATTTATAACAAAAGTTTGGTGATTAATTAACGCATTCTGCCTTTACACAAGAAGAAAGATTTAGCTTTTATTCAGAACCAGATTAAGGGCCAAAAAATGGTAATAGGAGAACTTGATGGGTGTTTTGGGAAAATTTAGTGTGAGAGCCAAATAAGAATCAGGAAATGTTTTTTTAGGAAGAAACAAAAATGTCAGCAAAACTTGAACTGAAAATGAAGCAAGTTTTAACTGTCGCGAGTTTACTGATCAAAGTTTTAATAATAAAGACTTTGAGATTTCTCAGCACAAGAGGAAGAAAGCTGATAAAGTTCAGGTACTTATTCCCCCTGGGAATATTGTGTAAAAAAAGTGATGAAAAAAATACTGAAGCCCTTTAGCTCTGATCAAAGAATCTCTGAAAAAATTATATGGGAGGTTGGAGCTATTTTAAAAGATTAGTTAAGAAAAATGGTTAGGAACACTGAAAAACTTTTTTCTCAATTTCTTCATAACAATAAATTGTTATGAAGAAATTGAGAATAAAAATTATTGAACTTTTTCCCTTGTCTTTTTTATCCGACTCCTAGAAATACCCAAGCCACCTTTCTCTCTGGTCGGCTGGAAAACTATTGTTCATTTTAGAATTACACGCCCTTGACAAACCATTCACTCTTTTTTGAGTGTCCTACTTTTGCCTCCCGTCCTCAATTCAATTATTTTTTTATTCAATCAACTTTAAATTTGTATCAGAAAAATAGATAAGGAGTTTATTTTTAATTAATTCAAATAAAATTAAACTTTTTAAATTGTAAAATTAAAGCCATACCGCGGCATGAAGCATTATTTGTCTGCTGGTTTAATAGTTTTCTATCAACATTTGATAAAGCAGCTTTTTTGGTTTGAGGTAATCGAAGTCGCGCTTGTGCATAAGCGTAAAATATTGTAAAATTTCTTCCAACTACGGACACAGGTAATGCTAAAATGAGTATACCACTAAGGGCACAGATTGCTCCAACCAATTTTCCAAGACCAGATTGCGGAACCTAAAAAATACGAAAAATTTTACTGTAAAGGTGTGTGTTTCTGTGTGTATATATATATATATATATATATATATATATATATATATATATATATATATATATATATATATATATATATATATATATATATATATATATATATATATATATATATATATATATATATATATATATATATATATATATAAAATATATAATATATATACAGTGTTATATATATTATATATTTTATATATATATAAAATATATAATATATATAACACTGTGTTTCATCAAAAGAGAATCATCAGATTTCTGATGAGTCTTTATTGAAGGAACACCTTGTTAAATGGAAAAAAAATTTTGCTAAGTGATATATATATATATATATATATATATATATATATATATATATATATATATATATATATATATATATATATATATATATATATATATATATATATATATATATATATATATATATATATATATATATATATATATATATATATACAAAATAGAAAATGTATTATTATGGTATAATAATAATAATACAAATACTCTTGTGCGTTTAAGAGTAGTGAATACTATTAAATAATAGAGCAATATTTATTTATTTATATTAAATGAATAAAAACAACTTTTGATGGAACTCTGAGTTTCATGCCTTTCGGCAATCATCAGCCATTGTGTATTTCGTCACTTAAAAACCGTTAAAAAATTACAAAATAACAGTTTAGCAAAAATGTTGAAACTAAAATTGGAAATCGCTTTTTAGCTTTAATTGACCAACACTTTCCAGTAGGACACAGGCTTCATAAAATTTTTAATCGAAACTATAGTAAAGTTAGCTATAGTTGCATGCCTAATGTCAAGTCTTTAATAAATACACATAATAATAAAATTTTACATTGCGATAAAAATAAAACATCAAAAAAATGTAACAGCATAGACAAAAATTAATAGAAAATTTACTTAATAAAAGATATGAAATAATATCAAAGTGCCGGCATTCAAAAATATTTTTACTATCCTTATTTGATACCGGGGACTAAAACCATTGACGTCTTTTTGTTTTGTTTTGTTTTGTTTTGTTTGGTAACGTCAGAACTCGTTCCACCGTAATTTTGTAATTTTTAAACGGTTTTTAAGTGACGAAATACACACTGTGAACGGCATGTTAGGCATGAAACTCGTTAGGCATGAAACTCAAAGCTCCATCAAAAGTTGTTTTTATTCATTTAATATAAATAAATAAATATATATATATATATATATATATATATATATATATATATATATATATATATATATATATATATATATATATATATATATATATATATATATATATATATATATATATATATATATATATATATATATATATATATATATATGTATATATATATAAAGTAGCAGAAAATCACTTGACAAAATTTTTCTTTATATAACACTGTGTTTTATCAATAAAGAATCATCAGATTTTGGATGAGTCTTTATTGAAGGAACACCTTGTTAAATGGAAAAAATTTATATATATATATATATATATATATATATATATATATATATATATATATATATATATATATATATATGTATATAAATAAACCAGGTACTATATCTCCATAACCAAGTGTTGTCATAGTAACAATTGCCCACCAGAAGTTTTCAGGAATACTTCTACAATCTTTTTCATCTGCAAAAGCCTAAATGAATTAATAATATATTTTTATAACTTACACTACTAATTCCGCAATTAGACAACTATGTTAAATAGTATTGGTTAAACAAATTGAAGAAAAAGTATGTAAAATAATATTAGATTTTTCTTTTCTTGTTTCTTTTTTGTTTATGAACTTTATATCTAATCATTCAGAATAAGAAAAATATATCTTAAAGTAATTACTTATCACCCTCTTATCAGCCAAATCTAATAGTTTGATTTTTAATCTTTTCAATCTTAAATGAAAAAAAAACATAGTCTTATTGACATTTCACTCACTCTCTCTCTCTATCACACTCTCTCTCTCTCTCTCTCTCTCTCTCTCTCTCTCTCTCTCTCTCTCTCTCTCTCTCTCTCTCTCTCTCCTTTCTTTTAATCTTGCGTCATCGAGTTTATATTTAATTTCTGTTTTTTAATTTTGAGAATTTTTGTTATCATCTTCTCATCCTTCTTTAAAACACTTTTTCAATTCAAAATTAGTTTGTTTGACTCTATAGATTAAACTTAAGCGTAAGCGGAAGAGAAGTGAGGGGGAAGAGGTAGGAAGAAGGTGACGAAATTTTTTATTGATTTAATCAGCTCATCAATGTTTTGAAAAAATATTTTAACTCAATGTTATATTTGATTCTTTTTTTTTTTTTTTTTTTTATTATTTCTTTTTAACGCGTGTTTGTTCGTAACATAGAAAATGTCTTTTACCTTTTCAGAATAATAAAGTAAAGTTGAGAAAATAATCATTGGTAATAAAAAAATTGCGAGAAGTAACATTAGTTCCTTGACACTTGCTTTTAAAGTCTGTGTTATAATTCTCATCCCATTTATATTTTTAACAAACCGATATAAACGAAGCATTCGAAGCAGTTTAAATGCTTGTAAAAACCCGACAGAAGAGCTATTGAATATAAACTCAATATAAAACTGCAGTGTTGTTACAATATCAATATATGTTTGTACGCTCTTGAAGATTTTTATATAAGAAGGACAGCACGTCAGTCGAACTAACAACTCTATTGTAAAGTAACAGCAGTATATATAATCAAGAATTGAAAAAATCTTTTTTTGATCGTTAAAATAAGACATTGTACTTAAACAAAATGTTAATATGGAAATCATAACAACTGAAACTGATATCACAGCAACTATCTAAAATAAAAAAGAGTACTTTAGTAAAGTATTTTTATAGGGTCAAGAAATTAGGAAGTATTATTATTATTTTTTTTAATATATGAAAGCAAAAATACTTTCAGTAACTTAAAAAATGATTTTTAATTTGATAAATAAGACAACAAATAATATGGTACACATTAATAGAATCACACGACACATATTTAAAAAGGGGACACTGGGGAACATTATTCGAGACTGAATAGACAAATTATTGTTACTATTATTGTTGTTATTAGTATTATTGTTTTTATTATTTCTTTTATTTTCATTTTTATTATTATTACAAATTTATATTATAATTATTATAATATAAATACTTGTGAATAAAGAGAGTCGAACGAGTTTTCCACCAGACACCATAGATTTATTTTTGCTTTTAAAAGACAATATATCCATGAAGATTTATATTGATTAATTTTGTTAATTAGCTTTTCATTAGGAAATTCCTCAACATTGTCAAGTGCGTCAAACATAGAAATGTAGTCTTTTGCTTCTCTGTATTGAATGTAATTGCTATAGCAACATGGCTCTATTAAATTTTCATCAATCCCCCAGAACGTCAGCTCCTATTAAAAATTTCAAATTAAATATTATTAAATGTCTAATAAAATTTAGCATTAAAAGTCAAAATATTAAATGATATTTAATTTTAAGTAATATTGAGTAGTTTTTTTTTTTAATTTTATTTTAGTTGCCACAAGAAGTCCTTACGGTCTTATCACAGACCGCGGAAGAAGTCGGTCTTATCACAGAGCACCACGGAAGAGCATTTGAAAAAAAGTTTAGGGTAAGGCGGGGAATTCGTCACTTATGCGACTCAGCTTTAACATAAAAATGCATAAAAACTAAGAAATCTATTTAATAGGTTTTTTTGAAACTTTTTCAACTGATAGTTGTAGAATATTATTAGATAAGTGTTTTATATATTGTCCTTTGATTATTTTTTAAATATTGCGAGTAAACATCGAAGTTGAAAAAATATTTTTCTGCCTAAATGCTTATCGTCAAAAAATAATCAAAATGCGCGATGTTTTGATCACAAAGTATATTTTTTTTGATAGATCAATGTCAATATTTTTAAAATAACAATTTAAGTTGCTATGTTTTTTCTTTTGGAATCGTCACGTATTGATTGTTATCACATGCTCAAATGAGGGGCAACTTTGTCGTTAAAGAAAAGATAATACTTAAGATAAATTAGGCTCTTTAATCACGCAAACTTTTAAACTATGGAGCGCCGATTGAAAGAAAATTAAATTGTGCTAAAAATGTATTTCAAAGCTTCAAATTTTATCTACAAGACGCTTTTCAGAATATATTAGTTTACAGTTAGTTTTTAAAACTTTTAAAGTTTTAATTATGAACGCGACTCTGAAGTAAACACATGTAAAGACACATGTAAACAAGCTCATTATAATACATAGTCAAAAATGTATATAAAGTAAATAATAAGTATGTAAAATTTGATTTATAAATGTGATAAAAGCAGCCTTTCATCTGTAACAAGTGGTTTTGTGTAAAGGGCTCTCGTGAGGTACAACATTTAACTATTGGTTAACGTGGCACACTAACAACATGCCTGGCCACTGTCAACGCAGCAAGGGACAGGTGACCACCATTTTTTCATATTTAAAGAAACAAAGATAGTTTAGTTCCTATAGTTAATTGGAAAATTTTCAAGCAATCTAAAGCATATAATCCAGCATCTAAATCTTGTAAATTAGGTCTCACCAAAAAATATGAAATCCTAAATTATTAAAATACTAATCTATTGAATAAAAGAAGTGAGATTGTTTCTAAGTGCAGACATAAAAACAGATTCCTTCTTTCCCAATTTGAAACTGGCGATTAGAAAAGATGTTTTTCCATATTATTACTATTATTGTTATTAGCTTTATTTTTATTATTATAATTTTATTGTTATTTTTTTATTTGTTTTTTTAATTACTTTTATCATTGATGTTATTATTATTATTATTATTATTATTATTGCTATTATTATTATTATTATTATTATTATTATTATTATTATTTTCATTAATAATATTATTATTATTATTATTATTGTTACTATTTCACATTAAGACTGATTATTTCACTTTATATTGATCACGCTTAAATCGGAAAAGAATGGCTTATTATAACATAATCAAAACAGCAATATATATACAGTATCGGACAAAGCAAATGCAACCAAATAATGCTAATTTAGTTTCTTTATATAAAAGTGCTGCATTTTTTCAATTTAGAGAAATAACTATGTAACTGTTTAGAGACAACGTTCTTTAAGTTTTATTTATCACAAAGTTTATTATTTGTACACGAAAATTAATAAATTAATCAAACGTATCAAAAAAAGTTGATTTCCTTCTGGACAAAACAATTGCAACTCCACAAAATGTTGACCAAGCTGTATTTCGCTATCAATATTTCGTAGCGAATCCTTTGTTGTCGATCACAGCCTTGCATTTTTAAGGTATAGATTTGATCAGGTGATCAATAAAAATTTGTGGAATCGCTGCCCAGGCCTTTTGGATTTGTTTAAACAGTTGATCTTATTACGAACACCTTCACGATTAATTCTGCGATTAACAATCTCCCACAGGTTCTCGATAGGGCTGAAATCCGGAGATTGAGGCGACCAATCCATCACCGATAGGTGGTTGTCTTGAAACCACTGCTTTACTACTTTTGCAGTGTGTTTGGGATCGTTGTCTTGCTGAAAAACCTGAAATTTTATTGGCATATTCCATTCAGCATGAGGTAACATAACATCTTTCAGGATATTTTTATACATGAAACGGTCCATTATTCCATCGATTTGGTGCATTGGACTTAGATCTTTAGCAGATAAACACCCCCAGACCGTTACATTGCCTCCACCATGCTTCACGGTCTTACGGCAGTAACGTAAATCGAGGCGTTTTTCGGCCGGTCGACGTACACGGCAAATGCTATCGCTCCCAATGATTCATCACTTAACAGGACAGTTCGCCATTTCTTCACATTCTAGTCAATATGAGATGTAACAAACAGGTGTATTTTCTTCTGGTTCTTTAGTGAAATCAGTGGTTTCTTTGCATTGTGTCGAGAAAACAATCCGGCTTCAACAGCACGTCGTCTGATTGTTCGGTCCGATAGAGGCAGCTCTAATTGCTTTTGTATTTCGACTGATGATATCTAAGGATCCTTCTTGACAGATCTGACATATCTGATAATATCATATGATTCTATGATCAGATCCGACAGATCTGATCATAGAATCCTCTCTAGAAGTGGTGGAACGCGGTATTCCACCTTTGTTATCTGCTGCCAACTTCCCCGTAGAACGATATTTGGAACATAGTCTTGATACGGTCCATTTTTTCACGCAATATTTATCACAAATACTTTTTGTGACATTCCAATTACGTAATCGCCAATAATTTTCTTTCTTAGTTCCAATCCAAGACTGTCGGAAGCCATTTTTGCACTTGAAGTCATAAAAATAATAAAAATCTAGATGCTTATGGATGCTTCCAGATGCTTCTTCTGGAAGCTTTTGCATGCTTCTGGAAACTTCTGGATACTTCCTTTAATTATTAAAAAACTTCCGTGACGTTGACACGGACCAGACTTAAGAAAATGAAACAAACCAAAAAAGTTGCACTTGTTTTGTCCGCTGCAAAATGGCACTTGTCAACGAAATTCTGCCTGTGTGCTGTCACCTGCCAGCTGATTGCTCATGTCATGGCATGATATGACTCCAGACTCCTGAACTTTTTGCTGTGGTAGTATAGTTCATTTCGTTTTTAAGACATGTAAAGTTAGGAACACATTTTTATGTATATATATATATATATATATATATATATATATATATATATATATATATATATATATATATATATATATATATATATATATATATATATATATATATATATATATATATATATATATATATATATATATATATATATATATTACTAATTCCTTAAGTTTACCTAATGCCTGAAATCATCATATTTGAAACATTAAAAAATCCCATCGTCCACGGGCGCATTTACAAAATTGTCTTACTTTTCTCAAAATGTTTCTGAACATAGGTTTATAATAAATTTGATAGTTGAATCTTATTGACTTGATCGTTACAACAATCTTATTAATAAGATTCAAGTATTAAACTACTTATAAATATATGTTTAGAACATTTTGAGAGAAGAAAGATAACTTTGATATGATATAGAATATGCAGAGATAATGCGAATCGTAAAACACGTAAATTTATTTACGCGTTTTAAAATTTGCATTATCTCTGCATATGCTATATTAAGTCAAAATACTTTTTTGATTTTCTTGATCTGGAACTAAAAAAGGATTGAAAATGATTTTTAAAGTGTTAAGGTAAGCGCTACTAAAGGTTTATCAAAATGATTCCAATGCCAGTTTACTATTAATGTAATACTGAACTTATTTTGAACTTCAAAAGATATTTGCTGCTAATAATAAACATATGATGTATTATCAAGATGACATTAAAATTCGTTCTTATAATGTTAGGGTCTATAATGTTAAATCTTCTAGGAGTTGTAATAAACACCTCTAAACAAATTCGCAATGCAATTGAAAAACTTTAAATTTTAATAAGTAGTATTTAACTAAAATCGTTCAATGTTTTATATATTTATATTCTTACTTGTTCAAACAATGGTCCACATACATCGTTTGGAAAATGAAGCTGTCCAGTTCGACAGTAGTTTAAGATATGAGTAAAGCAACCCGGATGTCGGTCAAAAAAAAACTCATGAACATCTGGATTAAAGTCTGAAGTACGCAAAGCAGTTTCTGCAATCCATTTTAGACGAGAGTCGTGTATGTTTAAAATAGTACTAATATAACATTCATGTCTCATTCCCCCAACGTTGATAACGATTCGATCATTTGCTGTTTTTTCTTCGTGTTTTTCGAACGAATTCCGCAAGCAGCTCAATTCAACAGACATTCTTTTTTTTGTTTTAAAATAAATTTAATTGGTTTACTATAAATAAAAGTTTAATATTATATAACAGGTTGGATTCGTTATAGTAAAAGAGACCAAGTTAATTATAATAAAAGCTCTGCAAACTCAAAACATTTCATTGTAATAAAATATTAAATTTTAGAAGTATTTAAGAGCTTTAAATTTTAAAAATATTTTTTACTAGAATAGTGTTACAAAAAAAAACCTTATTGGAAAAATAACTTTCAGTTTAAACTATTTTAAAGATAGCAATAAATATTATTTAACAACGTGTTTTTACAACATTAATGACATGTATGTCATGTTCAGAGGCGATTCTAAAAATCAAATGAGGGGAAGGGGTGAATCTTTAAAAACCAAACTAACTTCTGAAAAAAAAAAAGTTCTCAAAATTAAAATTCACCTAACTGAAATGTGTCAAACACCCAATTAGCTACCTATGTTCCTCAAAAAACCAACTATAACTTGAAAATCACTTTCTTTGGGGGAGTGTTATACCCCCACAGCCCCCGTAAAATCGCCCCTGGTCATCTAATGAGAAGTATACTTATTGTGACTTAATTGTTGAACGTAAAATCAGTTAAACCTTACCGAACGTAAAGTCAGTTAAATTTCACGTAAAGTCAGTTAAAACATATTTCAAAAAATCAAAAAAAAAAATTTTGTTTATGTTTTTAAAGGGTCAATAATTAGACTAATCTTATTTTGATCTTATATAATTACTTTAAATGGAATTTTAAATGGTTTGTGAATGATACAATGTGGTATGTGGTGTAGTATTGTAGTGGCAGAGCGCTCGCTTCATAAACGAGTGGTTCGGAGTTCGATTCCCACCACGTCCCTGGTAGTACCGCGCTTAACTCGTTTCTCCGCGCAGCGGCCTTGTTCGTCAAGGTTCGTGTTTCGGAGTTATAGAGTTGAGAGAGGGTTATAGCCACAAAATAAGTAGCCTCCTCGTCTGTAGTGGCCTTCTCGGCCTTGAGGAGGTGAAGTAAAATAAAAATAAAAATGTTGTTTTACTCTAATTTTGATGTCAATTGTTTGAAACATCCAACAATAGTTTTTGAAATTAACAGTATGAGTTGAGCCCAATAAAGAGCCCTAATTAAAATACCTTTATAAATAAAATTTTATAAGTTTTTTTTATTAGACATCGCAAAAGAAAAAAACTTCAAAACTTCTTGTTTGTTGTATCCCCAACTTTTGCATAAAATAACGACACTTTTTTATGTAGAAGTTTTTTTTTCCGACAACAACCTAAGTTAACAACTGAAAAATTATTTATTGAGAGAGAACACAAGTATAATCGAGAAAAACAATAAAAAAAAGCAGTATCTTATTTTAACTAGAGAGAACGCAAGTTTGAATAAGAACAAAATAATACAATATCTTATTTTATCTAGAAAATACAAGTACAATTGAAAACAAAAAAAAACAAAAAAAACAATATCAAACTCCAAAAATGCCTAGATTGAAATCAAAAATAATTACCCGTAGAAACATTGAAATGATGTAATAGAAAGCAGATGAGACCCTTTATGTAGGGAACAGGTGAGACCCTTAAGCTGTTGCAGATGCAACTCATTTTTGAAAAGTAAAATTTTTATAAAATCAAACTGATAGATAATTAAAGCACTTATAACAAAGGCCAACGAAATTTACTTTTTATTTTTTTTATTTTTTGCATACAATATGGTTTACTTATAGTATTCCTCATTCTGATTTTAAATGTACGATCCTTTTTCTCCTATTACGTCAAGTTTTAAAGATTTTAGGGTTCAAATCCCAAACATTTGGGGTAAAATCCCAAACATTTGGGGAAAAAAAAAATTTCATAAGTATGTATAAGTATCTCAAAAGAAGCCTTTTTTTTACAGAGATTTAAAAATAATATTTGAATGTAATAAAAATATTTTTGTCTTTAATAAAAGTAATATTTGTATGTAATAAAAATATTACTTGTCTGTAATAAAAATAATATTTTTATGTAATAAAAATAATATTTGTATGTAATAAAAATAATATTTGTTTGTAATAAAAAAAATTTTGATACTTATTAGCCTTTTTTTAACTTTATTTTTTTGTCAATAAACTATAATGAAAATATTTATGCTATTTAAATTTCTTTAATAAAAGGTTCTTTTGAGACCCAGGTTGACATACTTTTGGAACATTTTATTTCTTTTTGACAATATTAGGAATTTTACTTCGAAAGTTAGGAATTTGAACCCTACTATCTTAAAAACATGACGTGAGAGAAGAAAAAAGACCGTATATTTAAAATCAGAATGAAAAATGCTAAAAAAAAAAGAAAGTAGGGGAGATGGGGCGCATTGATCGCTGTTGCAGTATTTTGAAAACTGCAAACAACCCGATCTAGATATAAAAACTTATTAATTACTAAACTAAACTAGAACAATCTGTCTTTAAGTAAAAATAAATGTTTTAATAAAAAACATTAATGAACGTGGTATATTTCAACATTACAACAACCCTTGCAAAAGATCAATGTACCCCATACAATGGGGTACTATGATCTCCGATATGGGGCGCTTTGATCTTATATGAGTAACATTATTTATATGTTTAATACGGTAATACCTAAGTGCTACAAATGCATTAGTTGAAGGGTATTAGTGTATATTATATAATACATCTAAAAAAAAAGTAAAATTTAAAACATATATATATATATATATATATATATATATATATATATATATATATATATATACATATCATTACAACCTAATACACACCAGTGTATAAAGTTTACATTAGAAGAATAACCACAATTCTATCTATGAAAATAAGCCCGTTATATACTACTAACATATATATGTGTTAAGTTTTACAAAACTTGAAGCTTATAAAGTCCATAAGAATACAGTATTTTAAGTTTACAAAGAAAATACAAGATTCATACAAGACTTTTATTAGAACTAAAGTTTACAAGATAATTTTTTTATATTATCATCCTTTGTCAAAGTCAAGTCGTGATGCTGCTTTTACAATATATTGTTTTTTGTTCCTAAGCAAGTAGTTTTTAACTTTTCTCCTTTTTTTATCTTTTGCGATGAGTTTCTTTTGTTGGTTGATTTGTTTTAGGGTTTTCTTTTCTTCTGAAAAACGAATTTCATTTCTGGTTGGAGTATCAGTCAAAATTCTTGTTTTTAATTGCCTACTTTTAACACTTCTTTTCTAGCAGATGCTTTCGGCTAAGGTTTCAAAACTTTAGGTGAGAGTAATGAAGCAATGCTTGATGACACTTTGTTCGAAAAAAGTGTTTCATGATGTACTACAGGCACTTTAAGCTCCATGCCATCAACATGTGTTACAGTCATTTCAGCTTCCACAAGAATTGTGATTACTACATTTGGAGCAGCACGATCAGTAACTGATGATAGTAAATTTCATTCATCATCTTTAAAAATTTCTGAATTAAATGGTTCAATGCCAGCTACTTAAAATCCTCTCTGTATATTAGATGGTGAGAAAGCTTTTGTATATGGTTCGCGAACTATTGAAACAATATCATAAATGGTCATAGGTCTTGGATTTGTGACCATCCAATTATCACACACAGCATTGTAAAACCTTTTTAATGGTCCAAAAACAGTTCTATCCAATGGTTGCAGCTTATGGGTACAATGGGGAGGCAAACTTAGCATTGTAATTCCATGCTGAATTGCAATATCCAAAGCTCTAACAGAAATATGACTTTTATGGCTGTCCAGAAGTAACAAAACTGGAGAATCATGGGAACATTTTGAATACCTCACAAAATGTTTTATTCATTCTATAAAAATGTCTGAATTCATCCAACCAGAAAGATTTGCAAATCCCACGCATCCAGGAGGACCTTCCTTTATCATGTAATCAAGAAATTTGACCCTAGGAAAAACAAATAGTGGAGGAATAGAGTTTCCAATTGCATTTGAAGCACAACATACAGTTACTAATGTTCCTCGTCCTGCAGATGTGAATTTTTCTACTTTTTTACTTCCTTTACCTGCTAACACTTTTACTGGCTTTTGTACTGTTGTTAAACCAGTTTCATCAACATTATATATGCAATAAGGATCAAACTTATATTGATTTCTTACTGTTTTTAGATTTTGGAATAATTCTCCTACAGTGTGTCGGTTAAAAGCAGTTGATCGAGCAAAGCTAGTTGCTTCAGGTGTTCGTAAAGACAACTCTGGTTGTCTTTTCATAAAACCTTGCAACCTATCAATTCCTGCAATTTTATTCTTGATCAATGATGAAGAGCAAATCTTATTATTTTTTACAGTAAACTCGTATGCCAATAATCGTGTTGACTTAGTTGAAAGTCCATAGTTCATTTTTGATGCAAGTAGCAAATAACTTGACAAACTTTTTTAATCTTCTGCAGTAAAAACTTGTTTATTGTTGTAATTAGGCTTAAAAGATTCATTTGGATTGAGCTTCTTTTCATTAGAATATCTTTTTAAAGTCATTCGATTTATGTTAAACTTGCGAGCTACAACATTCACTGGTCTGCCGTCTAAAACTTCATTAACAGCTGATTTCATTGTATCACATAATATAGCAACTCTGTCTGTTTTTTTTTTCTATACCTAACCATTTAGAGATCTGAAAATTTAAAAAATAGTAAAATAAAAACGATTGTTTAAAAAAAATGTTTTATATAATAATATTATGTAAACTAATTGTAAAACTTATGTAAAACTAAAAACTAATGTTATTAATATTAGTTTTTAACACTATTACATTTTCAAAATGAAATTTTAAAAGTTTATATAAAGATTTTTTATTCGTCATAAGTTTAAATGTCTAAAATTTAAACAAAAAAATTAAGTCTCATAATATAAGTTATATGGGGCACTTTGATCCTCCAATCAATGAGCCTCATATAATTTATATTATGAATAGTCAACGATCAATGTGCCCCATTAGGTACAGTTGATATATTGATGCCAATAACTTCTGTAAATACAGTAACCAAATCAAAAAAACAAGTTTATTATAAACTTAACACA